AGAGCTCTAGCTCCCTTAGGAAGCATTTTCGGAATAGGTGAATTGGATTAAATTGTCTTAAAATTATCTGAGGAATCTCCGATCTTCGTTTGTCAGGAGAGTTTCTGGACACCCTGTATAACTTATATTTTCATTGTCATGGTTTCTTTCACTTTAATGTTTAAACATTTTAATGATAAGTACATTATTTCTTAATGTTCAGGTCCCATCCTGTACGTGTATTGGTCAGTGATTTTGTATTTTGGCAAAGGTCCAAATCAAAAATTTCGCCGCATGAATCCAAGTGTGTTATGTTATTGTGACAAAAAATCCTCAAGGTAGTTTTCGATGTTAAATATAGAATATTGAATCATATATTTAATATTTAGAAAGATTTTTCATATATGTTTGGAGTAGCCTACCAGACCTTAATGTTTGTTGTTTTAAGCACAACGTTTTGCTGGTCAATGTTTTTGTTGAAGTTACAAGAAAGTGGACAATGTACAAAGTGTTTCAGGAAATAAACTTTAATTCTAATGTTGATGCTCCTGATAGTGAAGGTTGGATTCGTATTTATAGATTTTTATGCTTGTGTAACATCAATAGAGCCAGTTTACCGAATCACAATTCCGGTGTAGGTTGAGAGACGTCATTTTTGTTTTTTATTATTTCCCTAATTTATTTAATGTATGAAGTGCACATTGCATTGAAGTATTATGTATTTTAATTTGTACCTATTTGTTGTTTTCATTATCCCTAGATGCAGTTAAAAAAGTTGGAATTTAAACTAAAACAATAAAGTAGTTTTCAAAGTAAATTAATCGCCAATAAAAAGGTTGTTTAATCATCTCTTAAACTTCTATATGTTGTCAAGTTGTCATTCTACTATTATGGTGACGGCTGCGCGAAAAATAAGGTAAACACATGTCTTTACAAGCGATCGTCGACATCTAAGGTAATTTATTTTTCTAATATCTCCTTTAATTTTCTGGTTCAACAGTTAATATTTTTGGAAATAATCACAAGGATTTTAATTAAAATGCCATATTTTTAATTTAAACGATTTCCGATCTGGAAAACGAACAAAAAAGACGTGTTTAGAAAACGATTTCTTCCAGCAAGTCGAAACATCAAAAATATGTCATTTTAATTTTAATTATTGTTCATATAATTCATGTGAAATATGCTGTATTTTTCTGGGTTGCTAATAGATTAACTCTGGTAACTAGTTTTTATTTTCAATGGTCAACCTACAGTGATTAATAATACTACATAAACTTCTATCAAATTGAATGATTACAAAATATTAATAATATCACAAGGGAGTTACTTTTATATAGAATGCTTCAACATTACACACCCATTCTCGTAAGTACTGTATAAAAATCTATTCAGTTTATTGAATGTCTTTTGTGCACGTGCCAAAAACTACGGACTCAAACTAATACATTGCTATGTTCATCCAGGAACTGCACTAGTTTAAGTGATACACTTTACTTTTGACATCTTCTACGTAACACAAAAGAATAATACACATCATCATCATCATCATTCTCAGCGTATTCTACCGATTATGGTGCAGCCTCCCTTACGTAGTTGTTCTTTATTTCTGTCCACGATTGTCTAATATTCGCATTTCTGTGCCATGTTGTACCAGCTTGTTTTCTTATTATGTCGTAATCCTTAAGTATCTTAAATTTGGACGTCTTCTTAGCCTCCTGTCGCCTCTTGTTTCTTCTTCTTCTTCTTAACATGCTACACACCAAAGTTCGTAGGCGACTATCTCATTACTAGAATTCTGTTCTTGGCGGCGTGACACAGCTCGCCTGTATTGTGTATTCCTGTCCATTCTTTAATATTCCTTAACCAGGATAATTGTTTGCGGTCGGCTCCTCTCCTACCTTTGATCTTCCCTTGTAGGATCAACTGTGGTATTTCATATTTTGCTCCTCTCAATATGTGCCCAAGGTAACCAATCTTGCGATTAATTCAAAGAGTTCTCTTTCCACGCCGGCTCTCTTAAGGGCGTCATCGTTTCGAACTCTATCCACCCAAGGTATGCGCATCATTCTTCTCAATGACCACATTTCAAATGCTTTATGTTTGTTGATAGATGTTTTTTTTCAAAGTCCACGTTTCCATGCCATAAAGCAAGATGGACCATATGTAGCACTTGACCATTCTGTAGCGTATTTCGAAATGTAGGTTTTGATTACATAGGAGCGGTCTAAATTTTACAAAAGCTTGTCTTGCCATTTGTATTCGGGTTTTTATCTCGTGTTGTGGATCCGATTTGTCATTGATTGTGGTGCCAAGGTATTTAAAAGTTTTCACGCGTTTTATATGATCGTCACCTATGCATATTATCGGGTTTTCTGGAGGGTTTCTGCTAATGACCATATATTTCGTTTTCAAAATGTTGATTTTGAGGCCATATTTTTTACCTATGCTATTCACCCTATCAAGTAATAACTGCTGATCTTCCAAATTATCAGTTATAATCACTGTGTCCTCCGCATAGCGTAGGTTGCTAATTGGTATGCCGTTCACCTTAATGCCTAATTCCGTGTCTTCTAATGCTTCCGCAAATATATTTTCAACATATAAATTAAAAAGCATCGGAGAGAGTATGCAGCCTTGGTGGACACCTTTCCGGATTTCAAATTCATGCGTATATTGGTCTTGATCAATCCTCACCTTTGCCATTTGGTTCCAGTATAGATTCTGAATAATTCTGATCTCCTTCTGGTCAATATTGGCCCTATGTAGTAGTTCCATCATGATATCATGTTTAACATTGTCAAATGCCTTCTCGTAGTCGATGAAGGTGAGGTAGACATCTTTTCGTTGATCTAAGCAGTTTTGTATTAAGGTGTTCAAACATAAAATTGCCTCTCTTGTTCCTAGTCCTCCCTTAAAACCGAATTGTGTTGACCCGCTAAGTTCTTCTAGTATCTTGTGCATTCTTGAGTGTAATATCCTAAGGAAGAGTTTCAGCAAGTGACTCATTAAACTGATTAAGCGGTGTTCACTGCATTTTGTGGCATTAGCTGCTTTTGGGATCATCACAAAGGATGACTGCAGCCATTCACGCGGAATGTAACCAGTATCATAAATTCTATTGAACAGCCTTACCAAGATTTCGATATTCTCCTCGTCTAGTAGTTTTATTGCTTCTATATTAATTTCATTTGGACCTGTTGCTTTATGCATCTTTGTGGTTCTAACTGCATATTCTTTTTCACTTCGCATTATTGATGGCCCTGATAAGTTTTCGGAAGGAAGTTTGCACGTTGGTTGTGTTGGTCTTTCGTCATTAAAAAGTCTTTCTGCGTATTCTTTCCACGCCATTGCTATCTCCTCTTCTGACTCTATGTATTCGTTTCTGTCGTTGCGTATTCTTGTTCTGCGGTGGCTTTTGTGTATATTCGATATTTCTTTGATCTTCTTATGTAGTCCAAAACTATCTCCTTTTTCCTCCAATTGTTCTATTTCGTTGCACCTTTCCACCATCCAACGTTCTTTCTTAATTTTCTGGCGAATTTCTTTGTGTATCTGTTTGTATTTGTCTTGATTACGTTGTTGTTTATGTTGCCTTTGCTTTTCCATTAGATCCATTATTTCGTCTGTCATCTTGTTTACCACAGTGGTATTCTAGTGGACCATCTATTGTCAGTTCTTTTCGATAAATGATTCGCTTACTGTCATTTTAAAGATTTTATTCTGTGGATTAAATCAGTGACCTTGGTTTTCTGCCTGATCCATTCTATTCTTTTTCAATCTCTCTGTTATACCTAGCATACATTGCTTCATTGACCTTTAAGTGACTTTAAGTTTCACAGTCGTATATCATGATATACACCGATCGAATGCTTTTTCTTTAGGTGGAGTAGCATTCAAGGTGGACTTGAATATAACTGCATTTTTACCAAAAGATTTATGTATTAATTATCCCAGGTATACATACTCGTCTACTGTCGTAAGTGCAGTGTTGTTTATTATTTCTTGGACGTCTACTATCTCGTTGTACATTATTTTTATTTATGCCAAATTCATTTTTAGTTTTTTTTTTTAGTTTTATATGACGGGAACTGTACATATTTGTTACAGTCTCTATGTACGGTTGGTCAAAGCTTCAAAATCTTCAAACTTGTCTGTCTCTTTCCCTTTCTTTTTTGTTTATGTAAGGACTGGATTAAAATCTCTTAATTTCTTTCAACACCTCCTCTAGCTTAATTCGAACACCTTGTATATTTCATGTTCCAAAACTCATTAATTTTTTACTTAAGCTGGGTTGTTTTCTGTTATGACTGTCCAACATTTTTTTTCTAGAAGCAGGCTTATCGCCACAATTTTGGTGGATTCGAAAGATTTCTGAAAAGGCATTGTACCCTTAGCTGAGTGTCTCCATTTTTTGGGCGCTGGAGACTAGCCCTTAACTTTCTCATTCTGAGATAGAATTTGTTGACTATGTGTTTGCGTGTGTTACCCTGAGACATTTCTTGATATTTGTTATACCCACCTACCGGCATCATTGAGAACCCAAAGATCTAGAGTCCCTCTTTCTGTCTCAACCAGGCTTGGACCTGGTTACGGATAAGTTAAGGATAATAAATAAACATTAACAATATGAAAAATAATTTTTAATAGACACAGTTGTTTACCGAAACGTTACTAGGTAGGAAAATAGCATTTAAAACACTCATAAAGTATTGTAAACTAAATAAATCCTTCCGTTCCCTAGTGCTCTATCTGTTTCCACTCGCGCTAATTAATTCTTCAGCTCGATCTTCTTAGTATTATTATTGTTAACATTAACATTAACAATATGAAAAACAATTTTTAATAGGCACACTTGTTTACCGAAACATTACTAGGTAGGAAAGTAGCATTTAAAACACTCATAAACTATTGTAAACTAAATAAATCCTTCCGTTCCCTAGTGCTCTATCTGTTTCCACTCGCGCTAATTAATTCTTCAGCTCGATCTTCTTAGTATTATTATTGTTATTTTGTTCCAGGTGAATACCGCATTGGCTTGAAATTCAACGACGAGCATGTTCCAGACTCACCATTCAAAGTATACATTTCACCTGCTGTAGGAGATGCTCATTTACTCGAAGTAGCTCAATTCCCTGAAGGTTGTATCCAAGCAGACAAACCATCTCAATTTATTGTTAGAAGAAATGGAGCCAAGGGAGACTTGGACGCCAAAGTAAGAAATGTTTTTTACTTCTATTCAATATTTTTAATGATAATAACCATTACTTATCAACTAAGGTTGCTACCTAAGATTCCTATAAAGACAACGCCTCAAGGCCAGCAACCCCAGTTGGTAGTTTTACGTTGCATGGCGTGAACCTGTTTAAAACTTTAACATCATATTAATTGATCAGCAACGATGTAGAGCGTTGCTGTGAGAAAAAAAAACAAATTTAATAGCATTTAAAGACATATTTAGTGACTTCACTCATGTACCGGGTGGTCCAATAAGCCGATCTCTCGGCTATATATCAGAAACTATTCATGTTATAACTTTAGGAAAAAAAATTCCTAGTAAAAGTGGCCACGAGAAATCGCTGGAAATAACTTTCAAGATTCTGGATTAACCGCTAGGGGGCGTAACCTGCGAAGAAATTTTTGAAAACCAGTTTTTTGGGAAATATGTCCAATTATACCAAGCGTTAAATAAGTAAACTAGAAAGGGGCATAAATTCTGCACAAAATTGTTCAAGTACTTTTTTTTTATTTTTTCAAATAAAGAGTGGGGGAGAGTGGCAAAGTATTTGTGGATAAATACCTATAACTTTGGTTTGATCCAACCGATTTCAATGAAATTAGTGTCATTAGAAAGAGTGTGGATGAATTAATTCACATCTACTATAAAATACTTGCATTCAGTTTTCATAGTCGTAGGTAGACGGGACTTTCAAATAAAAAAAATTAAAATATGTTCAAAATTAATATTATTATTATTAATATGTTAAAATTTCTTTAAAATTTTTAATGGAAACACCTATTTATTGTAAATTATATTGGAACTGGAATAAGTTCGTAACAAAATGGAGCAAACCGCATGTTAATAGCTTTTGTTGAACTCGAGATATGAATAAAAACTCATAAACATAAGTAAGTATGGTATTGACACACCCTGTATTATAAATTACATTAAAAAATAAGTCAGTAGGTATTTTCAAATTGTTTTTATAGCAGAAGAATCTTAATGTTGATACCTATTTTGTAAAAAATAGTTTTTTTTGAAACTAAGTAGGCTACGACAATGAATTTGACAGGGAGTTCATATTGTTTATTTATTGACAGCAGTCAAAACGTTGTTAAGAAGTGCTATATTATAATTCGAATTGAAGATTGCACTTTTTTCAATAGATATTAATATTGGTAATATTAGTAATTAATTATCAGTACAAATAATTCGTGATGAGTATATCAAATTGTATGATATGATTGGAGTTTATTTCGAATGTCACCAAAATGCCGCTATTGCCTCACGTATATATTTTGTAAGATATCGTGTCAGGAGACATTATGGCAAAGAAGTATTTGAAAGAAAGGCAAAAAGATTAAGAGAAACTGGTAGTTTTTCTCGTCCTTGTTTTAAACGACGTAGTAGAGTTATGACCGAAGATAATTCAATCAATGTTCTTGCTTTAATTCAACAGAATCCACATATGAGTAGTCCGAAATCTCTACTTCTTTGCCACAATATCTCCTGCCAGGATATCTTACAGAATATATACGTGAGGCAATAGCGCCATTTTGGTGATATTCGAAATAAACTCCAATCATATACAATTTGATATACTCATCACGAATTATTAGTACTGATAATTAATTACTAATATTACCAATATTAATATCCATTAAAAAAAATGCAATTTTCGAATTCGAATTATAATACATATAACACTTCTTAACAATATTTTGACTGCTGTCAATAAATAAACAATATGAACTCCCTGTCAAATTCATTGTGGTAGCCTACTTAGTTTCGAAAAAACAATTTTTAATCATATGAAATAACAATGGTCAAAATAGGTATCAACATTAAGAGTTTTCTACTATAAAAATTTTTGAAAGTACCTACTGAATTATTTTTTAATTTATTTTATAATACAGGGTGTGTCAATACTATACTTACTTATGTTTATGCGTTTTTGTTCATATCTCGAGTTCGATAAAAGCTATTAACATGCGGTTTACGCCATTTTGTTACGAATTTAATCCAGTTCCATCATAATTTACAATAAATAGGTGTTTCCATTAAAAATTTTGAAAAAAAAAAACAAATTTTAATTTTTTCTATTTGAAAGTACCCTCTACCTACGACAATTAAAACTAAATGCAATTATTTTATAGTAGATGTAAATTAATTCATCCATACTCTTTCTAATGACACTAATTTTGTTAAAATCGGTTGATCCAAACCAAAGTTATAGGTATTTATCCACAAATACTTTCCCACTCTCCCCCACCCTTTATTTGAAAAAATAAAAAAAAGTACTTGAACAATTTTGTGCAGAATTTATGCTCCTTTCTAGTTTACTTATTTAACACTTGGTATAATTGGACATATTTCCCAAAAAACTGGTTTTCAAAATTTTCTTCGCAGGTTACGCCCCCTAGCGGTTAATCCAGAATCTTGAAAGTTATTTCCAGCGATTTCTCTTGGCCACTTTTACTAAGGAATTTTTTTTCCTAAAGTTATAACATGAATAGTTTCTGATATATAGCCGAGAGATCGGCTTATTGGACCACCCGGTATACCTGGTAACAGTACTGATGATGGACTTAGCAGTCCGAAAACGTTAAATATACCTTTTTATAAAGGATTTTTTAAATAAATTTTTTTTATGTATGGTACACAGCCATTTACTCTTATCATGTGGATTTATTTTTGTGATTATCCACCTCGTTAATTTATAATAATCATAATATGTAAGCACTACGAGCCTAGTAGGCCCATGGCTTGATGTACTATTCTTTTCCACTCCTTTTTGTCAGTTGCTTTTCTCTCCCAGTTCGTTACGTTAGGTCTTCTGTAACTTCGTTGCTTCTTCTTGGCCTTTCTCTTCACACTTTTGCCTGCCATTGCACTAGATAGTACCATTCTAGGAATTCTAGATGAAATCATTCTCTGCACATGGCCCAACCATCTTAGTATTTGTGCCTTAATAACCGCTAATATGGTGGATTATTGATAGAGCTCCTATAGCTCGTTATTTATTCTTCTTATCCATTGTCTATTTTTTTCCCACAAAAGATTTTGCTCACTATTTTCCGCGAGGTCGAGGAAGACAAGCAAAAACGGAAATTGCCAATTCTGTTTACAGATATAAAGCAAGAAGTGTCATGTTTTGAGGAGGCATAATCAGTAGAAAACTCCTTTAATTTCCATCCAACCAATTTTAACAGCTCGTAGGGATGTTGATTTGGTTCTAAAACCTGTAGTTAGCCTTTGAAGAGGTGCAATGGGAGAAAATTTAATTTTCGTGCATGATAATGCACCTCCACATACTAGCAAAGTGACCTTTGCTCCTTGAAACTCCTATTAAGTTACCTGCTTGCTCACCTGACCTTAACCTTATAGAGCAATTGTGGGATAAGTTTAAGAGAAGAATTAGAGCTCTTCGGAAGGATCCACAAAACACTGCACAGCTAGTACAAGCTGCTCTTGAAGAATGGAATAATCTCAAATAATAAGAAATATCAGATATATTTGATTGTGAATATTGTTAATTATGATGCTATGCAAACAAAGACTTATAAAACTGTATTTTAGACAGTCTTCGATAATTTTTTTTCATTAGGAATTTCAATTCATCACTTTTTTGATAATTTCTATTATCTTAATTTCCTATGTATGACTTATATCAATTGTCACCTTCTTTGAAGAATCATTTAAAATTCCTGCATTCAACTAACGTTAATTAAATGCTGCAGTTTTTCTTTTTGGAAGGACCGTAATTTACTAAATGTATTTTCAGATTATTGGACCTTCAGGACATGAAGACGATTGCTTTGTCCAAATCATTGATATGGAAGAATACTCCATCCGATTTATGCCAAGAGAAAACGGTATTCACAAAATTCACGCCAAGTTTAATGGAGTACATATACCTGGATCCCCATTCAGTGTTAAAGTTGGTAAGGACACTGCTGACCCAGCTGCTGTTCACGCCAGTGGAAATGGACTAAAGGAAGTTAAAACTGGTAAGAAAATTTGTTTATTGTTTGCACGAAGTCTGTGATATATTTAAGTCTTTTAGATAGATAATAATAATAATAAATAATTTTTTTATAGGTGTAAAGACCGATTTTATCGTTGATACCGTGAATGCTGGTAGTGGTACCTTAGCGGTAAACATTGACGGTCCCAGTAAAGTATCGATGGATTGTACAGAAGTAGAAGAAGGATACAAAGTCAGATATACCCCACTAGCCCCAGGAGACTACTACATTAGTATTAAATATAACAATCACCATATTGTTGGTTCACCTTTCAAGGTAACAAGTAAAGGTACGTTTACTACTAATAAATATTAACAAGACATTATTAAATTTAACTATTGTTTGCAGGTGACAAAAAAGTAGCTGATATTGGTGGTCAGGAATCATCTTCGACAGTGGTAGAGACTGTAGCCAAAACAGGAAAAGCAAATAACAACAAAGGACCGGTTTTGCCCGCTTTCAAAAGTGACGCATCCAAAGTGCTATCAAAGGGAATGGGATTAAAGAAAGCATATCTAGGAAAACAGAATCAATTTACAGTTTCAGCACAGAATGCAGGTAAGAATCAGTAAAATTAAAAAATACAGTAATATTAGCTAAAAATGGTTCGTCAACATTCTCTTTGCCTCGATTCTTCATTTCTCCGTATAATGTGTCTTGGTTTATACCAATATTAATCCCCGTTACAAAGTTTTCTTATCTAACCGTCTCCAACTCTTGATTATTTTGTGAGGACCTAAAAACAGCATTACATGCTACACCAACATACAAGAGTGTTTTTTAGAGATATAGAAATGTAAGTTGGTAACACTTGTTTACCTGTAGGCCATTTTGACAGCTTTCAAGTGATTTATGTTAAGTTTAGTTTGGCATTTTAGCATGAATAGACTTGACGCCTGGACAACATTTTTAAATTGTACAAATTTATTTTGAAAATTGTGGTTCTGTTTGAAATACTTATCACGCACGTCGTCCATTTTGTGGTCAACATAATATTCCAGCAAAGCAAGTAATTCGATTAACCATTGAACATTTTTGGACCACGTTTACTCTAAATGATAATATGCATCCACAGACACGTCGTACAGTGCGTACAGAAGTTGTTATTGCTGTAAAGTGGAGCATACAGGAACTCCTGAATCAGTCTGTCTGCCATCGTGCACAGCATTTGGATACGTATCCATCGACTTTGTGGAAGATTTTGCAGAAATATCTTGCTTTTCGTGCTTACAAAATCTAACTCCTGCAAGAACTAAAAGTACATTATCACCTAGCAAGGCGTAGATTCGGTGAGTGGACACAAAACGAGATTGCCGTTAATTCCGATTTTCATAAGTAAATTTTGTTTAGCAATTAAGCTCTATTTTGGTTAAATGGCTACGTCATCAAACAAAACTGCCCTATTTGGAGTTAAGATAATCCTCAAATGTATGTTGAGACACCATTACATCCAGAAAAACTGACTGTTTGGTATGCTTGGCAGAATCATGGGACCGTACTTCTTTAAAAATGATGCTGGCCAGAACGTTAGTCAATGGTAACCGCTATAAAGTCATGCTTACTGCCTTTTTTATTTCCCTATTAAACAACAATAATGTGCAGGAGCTGTCGTTTCATTAAGACGGCGCAACATGTCACACAACTTGTGCCACAAGTGATTTATTGAAGAAAACGTTTGGTATTGGACAGTTATAACGACAAATATTGGAAAAAGTGATCGAAAAAAACTTAATTATAATGAAAAAAGATTATCCTTAGAATAAAGTCAATTTCATGTCAATTTATAAAAAACATTTTTGTTTTATTCGATTTCAAAGTTCTATCCCTCTAAAGAAAATACCCTTTGTTACACAACAATTAATTAATACGAGATTTGAATGCAAAGATAGGTAAGGAGAGGGAATATATGCCAACAATTGGAATTCACAGTTTACATGAAGAGTCAAACAACAACGGAACTCGACTAATACACTTAGCCTCCTCAATGAACATGGTGATTGCCAGCACATGCTTCAGGCACAAAGATATACATAAGGGATCATGTAGAAGTCCAGATAGGAATACAGTAAACCATATCGACCATGTGGTGGTAGACGCAAGACACTTCAGCGACGTGATAGACGTACGTCCAAGACGCGGGGCGAACATGGGACGAAAGCAAGCTGGAAGGCTGCACGGATGTTATAGTTGAAGATATTAACAACTATTGGAGGCAGTGTAGAGCCATATTGGAAGAAGTGGCAACTGAAGTTATCGGAAAGCAAAAACGTAAAAGATTAAGGTCAGACTGGTACGATGAGGAATGCGCACAAGCAACGCAAAGAAAAAATCAGGCATGTAGAAAACTCCAACGCGAAGAACGAGACAAATAGAGGAAGAGTAAAGGCAGCTGAGACGAGAATACGAAACGAAAAAAGAAGAATGAGCATATAGAGAGCTAACTAAAAGAACTAGAGAACTATAAGACACAAGTAGAAACGCGAAAGTTCTACAAGAGGATTAACCAGAACAGAAAAGAATTCAAACCTAGATTATCAATCGTTAGAAATAGAACAGGGGAGATCATTGGTGGTCAGGACCAGATACTAGAAAGATGGGCAGAAAACTTCGAGGAAAGGCTAAATATAAGAGGTGATACAGGGCTCCACGAATCAGAAATTCAACTCGAGGACATTGACGATGAAAGAGAGCAAGATAGCATCCCAACAGAGGTAGAAGTCAGCCAAGTTATACAGAAACTGAAAGAAAACAAAGCTACTGGTGCAGATGGCATTCCTTTAGAACCTTTAATGCATGGCAAAAAACCTGACATACTGTATATGTAGACTGGTAGGACTGATCTGGAAGCAAATAAAGTTGGCAGAAGACTGGACTGTAGGTGTAATTGTATCTAACCACAAGAAGGAAGATCAAACAATGTTTAGGATTAAACTTGAGAGGTCGCTGGTTAAATTATATCAGATAAATAATTATAACGAAAAATGCAATATTTGTTTGTACATAAAATTATCGAAAATAGCCACTATAAATTGTGAATAAGTTATGAAATCAACTGGTTTACTCATTATTGTTGTTTTGTACAAAGAACAGACTTACCCTTTGAAGATATTGATGCCGTCTTAAAAGGAATGAGGAGTTGGTCGTGATACTGACGCTAGCGTCGCCGCAGAGGCTCAGCACAAGAACCGTCCGAAACTAGGTCTGTGTCGATCGTTGTCTTATGAAGAAGTGCCAAATGCGTTGATATGGTCAGAGCTAAGATTGAACCCTCTAAGCGGTGGTTCGAGAGGGTGTACCAATAAATTATTCCATTGTATTGCGACCTTTCCGATAATTTTAACTAATTGTGACGGTAACACGAAACTTTACACTCGTGTGTATATTTTTGAACAACACAAAAGAGAAGCCAAATTCTCCGTATTCACAACATCATAAATGAGATATCCAGTTTAAGTTTTATGAGACAATAGGAAACAATATATTTCAAAAAGGTCTTTTAAAATACAGCACCAAATTAGATCACATTACAGTACCGTAACAGAAAAAATATTAACTGTAAAAATATGAAATGAATTCGAACATACTTTTCCAAACAAACAATATGTGACAACTACAGAGGAATAACCCTCCCAAACGTAATATTGGCATATATTTTGTACGACCGACTATCGGGATATTGTGATAGGTAAATATCAGTGTGGGTTTCGTAAAAAAAGATCAACGACCAATCAAATATTCCTTCTAAGGCAAGCTCTGGAAAAAATATATGAGTATGGCATTGATACTCATCACCTGTTTGTTAATTTCAGATGTGCCTATGATGGTGTTGAAAAAAAACGCACAGTACAAGGCCATGATAGAATTCAGCATACCAGTACACTTGGTAAAATTAGTGAAATCGACCCTTCCGAGTGTAAAGTTAGACTGCGGAACGGAGTTTCCAGAACGTTCCAGTCTCAGATAGGACTTAGATAAGGAGAGAGCCTATCATGCCTTCTATTCAATATTGAACTAGAGAAAGCGATAAGAGAATCCAGAGGAACTATTATTAATCGCAGCGTACAATTACTAGCGTACGCTGATGACATCCAAATTATTGCAAGAAGAAAGGCGGATGTGGTCGAATACTTTCGAAGGAGTAAGAGAGTTTATATACCTCAAAAATTAATCAGAATAAGGCAGTAAGTGCAGAAATTAACAGACGGATATATGTGGCAAATAGAGTCTACTAAGGATTAAAAAAAATTTAACAACAAGCCTAGTTACAAAAAGAACGAAACTAGTGATATACAGAACTCTTATCAAGCTCATTCCCACCCACGCGTCGGAAACATGGACGATGACAAAGAGCGATGAAGAACGTTTAAGATGCTTTGAACGTAAAATCCTTCGGCATATCTATGGTGGAATACAGGAGGGCGGATTATGGCGTAGACGTTATAATTTCGAACTTTACCGCCTGTATGACAAACCTGATATTATTAGGTCCATCAAAATAAACCGGCTGCGGTGGTTAGGTCACATAGAGAGAGATGGAGCCGCCAAACATATTTATAACCAAAAAATAAATGGAATGAGAAGAAGAGGCAGACCCAGAGCACGATTTAACGATCAGGTGGAGGAATACTTGAGAATGTTGGGAGTACGAAACTGGAAAACCAAGGCGAAGAATAGGAGAGAATGAAAACTTATCCTCGAGCAGGCCAAGACCTACCATGGGTTGTGGAGCCAATGATGATGATGACACAATAATTATTATAGGCGAATATAATGGAAAAATGGGCAGATGGACAGATAGTGGCTTAAAAGTCAAACATATCAAAGCGCTCAACAAAATTTCGATAGGAATCGATCACAGATTAATCCCAGCAAAGATACAATTAAATGTCAAATTGGAAAGAACGGAGATGATCTTAAAACACGAAAGAAGAAATTAGTTCACCCAGAAAACAAAGATCTCTATGAAGATACACCAGCAAGACATGGACAAGATTTAAAAAACGAAATATAAGATATTGAAAAAGCAAATAATAGCATAACGAAGGCACTAAAAGAAACCGAAAAAGAGTCTGCCCGACAATAATGACAGGTCGATGCTCACTGAAGATTGTTGTTTTCAGATAATTGTAATTATCAGTCCCACACTAGTGGAGTATGGGACGCTTGGGCCAGACAGCCATGGTGCCAATATCGGTAAGCGTTGGACCTCCATTACATGAACCTTAGCCAAGATCGGAACCATTTGTCAACCGGGTATACTCAAAAATTCTTTTCATTTGCGGTATTTTAGGATTTAAGGTATATGATAGTACAGAAAAATCAAATATGATGTCTGTCCAGGACAGCACCAGATCCACTTTGCCTAAACGTCGTCTTGTATCAACGTTTCCTTTTTTTCGTATGCATTCTTTTGAATCTGAATCTTCCGGATCTGAATCCGCGTTGTTCATCTGATAAAGTTGTTCATCTGAGTTCTCTCTTTAATCCTGACCCCCCAGGGGGAGTGTAGTGGTCGACGTGATGTCGTGTATTGTTCGTCTCCAGAGATCTCTGTCTCTGGTCATTTCTTTTAATTCATGCATAGGTCTTTGGCATATTCCTGTAATTTGATCTATCCATCTTGTTGGGGATCTTTCTCGTGATCTTCGGCCTTCTTCCTTTCCTTGTATTATGAGTCTTTCCACGTTTTCTGTGTTTGCTCTCATAACATGCCCAAAATATTTTAGTTGTTGGAGATGGACTTTATTAGAGAGTCGTTGGCTAACTTTTAGCTCTCTTAAAATTGAATTATTTGTTCTACGGTCGGTCCAAGGAATTCGTAACATTCGTCTCCAACAGAACATTTCAGTGGCGTCTATCTTACTTCTCTCCGATTGTCCCAGAGTCCAAGATTCATATCCGTAGGTCAGTATTGGGAATATTAAGCAGTTGATCAACCTAATCTTTATCGCTCTTGAAATTTGACAGTCCTTCCATATTTTGGGAATCGTCTGAGTTATTCTTTATTTATTAGTTTCTTATTTTGATTTAGTATGTTACTGGATATTTTGCTACTTTTTTTATTATAGGATAAAAATATTTGTGGAAAACTAAAAATCTGTATTTTCTTTTTTTACAGGTGTGAATATTCTTTTCGTTGGAATCCACGGACCAAAAGGCCCATGTGAGGAAGTATTTATTAAACATCAAGGACACAATCAGTATGCTGTTAATTATATGGTTAGAGATAGAGGCGACTACCTAGTAATAGTAAAATGGGGGGACGATCATATCCCTGGTTCTCCTTTTAAAGTGGAAGTTTAGATATTAAAATTATTTTTTTATATATTATTGTTGATTTGTTATTTTTTTACTTTAGCCATATCTTTATGCATAAAGGCAAGGTGGTGTATTTTTTTGGGGATACTCTTCGTATATCGTCATACCAAATATAAGAAGTTACATACTTGTAACATGAATAGATATTATTCAAAATAAACAACACTTTGACTTTAAGCATAGTATTTTTAACTGTTTCGTGTCATTTTTATTTTGTACATACCAGATTATTAAAAATTTATGTTTCTTTATTAGAATTATGGATTCACAAAATTTTTGTAAGATTCGTAAGTAAGATATCCAAGTGCCTTTACACCTAAGTGATTTATATGCTACATAAGCAATATAAATTGTATCATATTTTTTAAAATGAAATTTACATAAAGTTTAAATGTCGTTTTATTTACACAATTTTCATAAAACCAAATGAAAATTAGATAACTTAGATAAGAAGTAGCGCATACTATATAACCAAAAAAATTGACAGCGAGAATATTTTACCGGTGGCGGTCAAATATGCACATTTCGTGCAAGTCTTGGAGAGTTAATTTACAAAAAAATCAAAGCTAATGTCTCCTCTACACATCGACAGACGCATCCGCGGACGACATCTACGTATGCATCTGGAGATGTGTACGGGGTAGGCCAATGAATAAGTGATCGAACCTCTGAATTTCAAAGGACGAGCTCGTCTTTTGTCACCGTGTCTGCACGGATCGGCATCTGAACTATTATCAAACCAGAAGTACCACTTTTCTAAAGTAAACACTGAGGGTAATTTGATCATCTGTTGTTTACATATCACGTCCGCGACTGCGTCTGCTAGATATCCGATTGTTGTCGGTTTTTTTTAGCACAGATCAAAGGGATTCCGGTTTTACAGTGAATTCGTAGTATTATAAACGATTGCTTATTGAGTTTTGTGTTTTATTATAAATATTTCGCTAAAATGGCCATGAGTTCTGAAGAAACGATCAAATTTATAGAGCTATACCAGGCAGAAAACTGTCTTTGGAACCCAAAACATATATGCCACAAAAACAAAAATATTGTAAGTATACGTTTAACTAATATAATAAAAAAGAAGTAAAGAATTAATCATGATTCGTGGAAACGCATTGCAGACAAGATGGGTATTCCCATAATGGAATTAAAAAAGAAAAAAGAGAATCTGCTTGCTACCTTTAGGGTTAATTTAAAAAGAAAAAGTCTTCTTTGAGGTCGGGAGCTGGTGTAGAAGGAAGTATTAGCCCATCTGGCCGTTTTATAATGCTATGGAAGCATTTTTGGCAGATGTCTACACATCCGCAAGCCAAATTAACTCAGAGGAAAATGTAAGTAAAAGTAAAAAATCTATAATCTTATTTATTTTAGAATATATTTTATTTATTTCATAACTAGGTATTATTATCGTAAATATATTTCATAAAATTTAATCTTGATTCAGCTGCAGATATAGGAGCCCTTCGAGGTACAGGTTGCAGGGATCAAATGTTCCTGTGTTATTTTGTCTCCAAGATCCTGGTTGGGTTAACTCTCCATTGACATACTTATCTATTGAATTTGGTGGAGTGTATATATGTCGAGATGTTTCACTTTTCTTAAGAAATTGTGCAACAAGACACATGTCATTGTAATGATAGATGCTTTGACGGCATTCAGTGGTAAAGGCTTCTTAAACATTCTGAAAACGCTAGACAGTATTCCAAAAGTATTTTTGACTGCTACACGTGAACTAGATAGTTTTTGATTGAATAATCTTTCTGGAGTACCAATAGCATGATGCCCAGGAAATGGCTTCATAATATGTGCACTCAGTGCAAATGCCGCATCAGCTAAAAAGACATATGGTAAGTTAATGTTACTATTGGGTAAGCAACTAGGAGATGGCAAGTTGATAACGTTTGTGTCAATTTTTTGCTTTAAAACGCTTCCATTATACACTCCACCATCACTAATCCGTCCTGGGCAACCTATATCTGCAAACATAAAACAGTAGTCACTATCAACTAGTGCTAAAAGTACAATACTGAAATGTCCTTTATAATTGAAATACTCCGTTGCGGTATGGGATGGTGGTAGTATCATAACATGTTTCCCATCCAAAGCGCCGATACAATGAGGAAAATTAAACCCTTCTGCCTTCGAAAAGCATTCATCCGTAGTGTTAGACATCTAAAAATTAAAAAAAATATTTTAGATATTTTAAATTTTATTTTAACAACTAATATATTTTTAACTAGCGATTAGTTCTTGACAAGATATTAATCTTATTGATGTACACCATACCAATTGATATTACTCTGATTGCCAAAAATATTCAAAAAATAAAAAAAAATATTCAAAAATTTTTATTGTTATTGTATTTTCTTTTCCAGGAAGAATCTGAAAATGCCAACACTTCTCAAGCCAACACTTCGGATAATGATCCAGACGACGTTCCTCCTATCCCTAAAAGGAACCCAAATATTCAATCCCAAAAACGTCGTGCTCTGAATCCGCCCGAATTGCAGGAAGCGAGCAGAAGTATGAGTACTGCTTTTACTGCATTAAATACCGTGTTGGCCAGAAAAGAAAAAAGAAAAGAAGATGAATGTGACTTATTTTGTAAAATGTTGGCAAAGCAAATAAGAGCGTATCCAATATTTGAAAGAGAAGAAATAACGTATGAACTACATGGCATTATGTTGAGCAAACGTCGTCGGTACAACATAATGATGCAGGGTATACCAAGTAATGTTTCTTCTCCTTTACAAGTTGGATCCAGGCGACCTAGCTCCAGCAACAGTGCATCTGGATCACATAGACAGTCACCGAGTTATTTAAGTGACCCTTCATGTGCAGGGCAATCAAACAACCAACAATCTGAAGTAACTCAAGAATCAGATAGTAGAAGATATTATGAAAGATCTCTGGAAGTGTTATGAATAATTCACAGAAATATTAGTTTACTGTTGATTTTTTATATATTTTATATCCCAACTGTTAATTTTTTATAACAAATAAATAAATATTTAAGCATAAAAATGTCATTTACCTTCACTAAATCCTTTAACACGTCATTGAGCGCCAAACATACTTCAGGGACGATAATGGATATAACTTGGCTTGAAATTTTAAATAGGTAATGTAAGCTTCTATAGCTATCTCCAGTAGCTAAGTATCTTAATGTTACTGCCAGGCGAACTTTCACTGGAATTGCATCCTTCCAATAAGTATCCTTTTTAGCAACCATTGGAGATATCTTTTGTATAAGGTATTCAAAATCGCTGTAAGACATTCGGACAAAATTACTAAATTCTCCAGTTGGCTCCGAGTAAAGCTCAGCAAGTTGCTTTTCCATGCTATACCTTTAAAAAATATATGTAATGTACAAGTTATTACCTACCAATATAATTATATCATTAAAATGTAAATTAAAAATTTTATTAGTTGAATCTATATTCCACTTACTTTGTTCTGTTTTTATGTATATCCAGCATCCACCACATACTTCTTTTCCATTTTTTTTTAATTATTTTATTTCGATGTACACTCAAATAATAGTTAAACGAAGACGAGCTCGTCCTTTGAAATTCAGAGGTTCGATCACTTATTCATTGGTCTACCCCGTACACATCTCCATGCATCTCCAGATGCATACGTAGATGTCGTCCGCGGATGCGTCTGCCGATGTGTAGAGGAGCCTTATACAAACGCAGATGCATTATTTCGAATTGAAATACACACATGACATTAAGGATATGGATTCACAAATTAAGGTAGTTTTTGATGATTTAGGCGACGTGGAAGATGACGGATAGTCAACTTATAATAACCCAGATTAAAATCTAATAGTCAACGAGATTGTAAAGCAAAAGCAAAACAATTAATCCTAGAAATTATCCCAGACGACACTGTTGAAAACGAAGATCAAAATATACCTAGATTAAGACGGAAATGAAACAAGACATATAGCGGCAGATACCTATTTTAGAAAATCCATAATAAGCAAATTATTATCAAAGTCATTAACTACAATCAACGACCTCCAGCAACTTACCAAACATTTTCAAATAAAAAGCGTCATTATTTTCAGCTATCTACAGACCAGCTACAAGCCGATGCCGATACCATAATTTTTTTTAAGAGCACCTCGACCCGAAAAGGAGGTATGCAATTCTAGTTGAAGTAGAAGAAGAAATGTTCGCGGAAATTTGCGAAGTTATCAGAAAAATATTTAAAAACAATGCATACAACTTGGTAAAGTATAATATTTTACTGGAAGATGTTATTTTTTAAGAAAAACAAAAGTAACTTATAAACAACTGTCATGAAAGACCAAATAACCATAGATGAATAGGTGAAACAGAAAGCCAAATAAGAGAACGATATTACTGATACCTAAAATTCTTCAATATGTGCCAAGATAATAAATATGACAGACTTTCTCCCAAGCCAAAATTTATGGTTACACCATCTCCTACTAAGCCACTGGGAATAGTTCATACATAATGGACTCCCAACAATGATAGTAGCCAATAATGGTATAGAATTCAAAAAAGGGGTAGTTACCTACAGGAATTTATATTCATAATAACTCACATAAAATCTCAATCCACTATACAACACCAGAGGACCCGCAGTAAAAAGGGCTGATTGAGAGATATCATCCTACATGAATCAAATATTCGAATATCTTCAGATCATAAATAACACCAAAGCAAAATGATCAATAAAAGAACAAATGTTATAGGTTTATAATTGGGTAGAATAATTCCATACGTTCAACAAAGAAGTTAAGCCCTATTGACATATTAAACGAACATATATACGGAAAAGATCCGTTTGATGTTGACGTAGAGAAAATAATACTAAATAATTATTTATTGGATATTCTGCAAAACTAATTAAAAGGAAAAACATAGTGACTTTTAATATAAAACATCAAATTCAGTCAAAAACTAGTTCTGAACCTTCCCCATAGGATTACCCTGACGATGGGA